AATTATGCTGAATTTTTAAAACTTAGGCTGGATTTTTAAAACTTAATCAAAATATAAAAAAAAAATATGAAATGTTTAACATTTAAATAAAACTTGGGTGATTTTTATTTTTTAAAATATTTAAATTTAATAAATAAAATAAATTATTTTAAAACATTCTAGACTAGAATTATTACTTTTTTTATCAAAGAAATGTTTAATAATTTTTTTTAAAAAATTACTATTATTTGAAAATTATATTTAATAAATAATTTAATTAAAAATAACTAAAATAACCCATGATTTAACACCATTAACCCAAAATTTTGATGTAACAATAAAAAAGACCAATTTTTAAGGAGTTGACAGACCAAATTAGTCCCTCAAAAGAGTTTGGATCATTTTGGTCCCTCACAAATAGTTGAGGGATTATTTTGGTCCTTTTCTCTTAAAAAAATTGTAAACTTTTTTTTATTCAAACTCATCATTATGTTGCATAAATATATTTGAGCTAAGTTTGAAATAAGATTAGAGTCAACAAGGTATTTATCTCTACAACTAAGGAAAAAAATTAAAACTTTAAATAAAATAGACCATAAGCGGGTCATCCTACCTGATGGACAAGGTTGAAATCCATGTTTCTGATATAATTTGTTCTTAGAATATGATTTAACAAGGTTTATGCTGCCTATCAAATATTTGCACGACAAAAACAACATAATTAGGATAAAAGTTAAAAAAATTCAAGTAAGCTTGCATCATGAAGCACTTAAAATCTAAAACTCAATCCGAAATCTCATTAAAGTTATTTTATTTTAGGTTTGCATAAAGCATTCAAGACCCCTAGCAAAGAAAATTTATTTTCAAATGAAAACTCTCTAGATTGTTTCACTTACAAAGCCGGCCATGAGTTCAAATTTTCAAACCCATATGCATACAAATGATTAGAGATGATAATCAAAATTATTATTTTTAATCATATCAATAACCCCCTAAAATAAGTACATTTACCACACATTATAACGGGAGGAGTCTATTCAATCAAAATCAAATCGTAAACTACAAAAATAAATACTTCAAGCAATTTTTCCCAATGATAGCCATATTAACATCAAATCTCCAATGGAGGGGAACTTATTATCATAATTCCATCAAATTTTTAAGAGCCTGTTTTGAATTTTTTCTGTTCTTTATTTTAAAAAAATATTCGTTTAGTGTATTTTTACATAAATTATATTTTTAACAAATCAATGTTTTCTCAAAAACACCGAAAACAATTTTTAGAAATTATGAGTATTTTCAAAAACAACTATCACCATTGTGACTATAACCATCTGTCGCCCATGCCACCGTCGGCCACCACTACTGCAACTTGTCCATCTCCAGCCGCCGCCGCTACCCCGTCGATGACTGCCGCCATCCACGCATAAATCAATTTATTCAAAATCTAATAAAAACTAAAACAATATATTTCTAAGATACCAAAGATGTTTTATTTCAAATCAAAATATAAACAAAATAAAATAATAAAAAATAAAAGTGATCATAAATAACCCCTAAGTAAAATATTTTGGGCTTCAATCAAATTATGACGCATTCAAAATAGTACAACAATCTAAGGGAACTCTATCAAAATCAAATCTCCCTACCTATCATAAAAATCCAAAAAATTTCAACAAAACCTAAAATGCTCAAGCAATAATTGATCACTCCAAGCTTATAGCAATCAACCATCCAAACTTCCATCCCCCACACCAGTTTGTCGACGATGACAAATTTAAGTGTTATCAAAGCTCGTAAAATACAAACATCATATCAAAGATGTTCACAAGATAACTCTCAAGATATCAAACTAGTAAGGATGTGATGTGTTGTGCTCTCCAACAAGGTAATTTACTACAAAGTAATGTCATAATATTATTGTAATGGTCAAAGCCCAGATGTTCCTCACCTCAGTAACACATTCAATGAGTTGAGAATAATAAGATACACCTGATAGGGCATAAAACCCTCTGTTAGGATAATTAAGCTTAAAATTGACCTCAAACATTCACACTAGGTCTATGAGATCCCCTAAGATGATGCCACTCATAATTATTGGTAAGGATCCTTCGATTGAGTTAGGTCCACAACCTCTGCCGACTAAGTAGATCAATACTCACAACAACAGAGACAATGAAACTATGAGATTTTGATTGGGTTTGTAATCATTACACCGCCATACGCTATAAGCTAATGTGCTATTGATGGGGACATCAGATCGTGGAAGGTTTATCAGAGACGTGGCCGCCGATCTACGGCCACGATCGAGTCTTTATATTTCTGAGTCATTTGTATTATTTTATTATTCATGTATTTTCTTATTTGCTTATATGTCATTTTGTTTTTCTCGTTGTCCCCTCTTATGAAGGGATGTCGTATGTAAGCCCAAGGGGCATTTGTGTCTTTTTGTTTTGAGTCCTTTGTATGAGGCTTTATATAGCCCTCCTTATTTTCTTTTGAGATTAAGGAATGACTGCTTATTAAAATTTTCTTCTTGCATGAGCATTGAGAGCTTGAGAGTTCTAAAGGAGAGAGCTTCCTAGGAGAGGAAGAGGATTTGTGCAATACCCACCAACCTAGATAAGTCGGGTTCGTGACTTCTTTGTTTATCTCGTTTGTCTTCTTCCCCTTTTGTTTCTTGTTTCTTTTGTTCTTTCCACAACCCCTTAGCCGCCAAATTTCCTCCATGTTTGAAACCCCATCCCTTTCTCCCTACCCTCATGGCCGAACACCCAACCCGAGCCCCCCATCCCGCCGGCTCCAATAATCCCGCCGCCGACCTCCCCACTCCCTCTTCCCCATTCACTTCTATTGCCTAATTGGGATTGAGTATTTTTGGACATATTTTTTTGAGTTCAAAATTGTCTATTTGAAATTTAAAATCTTGCCTAAAATACCAAATCTATTTTAGGAAAGTTCTTAATTTAAACTCATTTGAATTTGAAATTTAAATTGGGTTGAATTATTTATTTTCCTAACTCATTAAACCAAACTAAGAAGCCTTAAATACTCTCATTAAATGCTCCTCTATTACCTCATGCCGCTGGCCCCTATAAGGGATTATTTTGATTTATTTCCCAACTCCCTCCCCAACTATTCTTGGAAAATTTTCCCAAATCTCAGCCACCTCTCCATAGCCGATTCCTATTAAACCTTTTATTCAAATTGATTTCCAAAAGGGGCTCTCTCAATTTGGAAACATATTAAAGTCCTTTTCTTTTTTTTTTTTCTTGCCGCCACCCTCCCATCTTTCTTTCCCCTTTTTCAAATCAATTACAAATCCAATCCCCTCTCTCTCACGGCCATGCCTTGCTGAAATAAAGGCTAAAGCTCTCCTTCTAATTCTCCTTGCTCCCAAGCATAGAAACCTGAGATTCTTCTCAGATTTTGGTTCCAAAATTTGAAATCCTTCCCAGAATTTTGAAAGGAGCTTGGGACTTAACCTCTCTCCACTTGCAAGAGAAACTTCTTTCTCTTTGCTACCATTCGAGAGGTGTATCAAGGGCTAAGGAGATTCTACTCCGATTATCCATGAATGGCGGATCCGAAGACTGAATATGGAATAATTTGGGACGAGACGGCTTCACCGATATCCTACAATCTACTTTCTTCGACGTGAACCCACGGATTGACCACACCGTCGAAGACTACTTGGAGAGGATCCTAGATACTTTGGTGGAAGCTATCGACGAATACTTCGAAGGCATCGAGTGGAGGATCTCCACCTCTCCCTAACGAAGGTTTCTCTTTTCTCTTGCATCTTATTCCTTTTAGTCTAAACTTTACTTGGTTTGATTGCAGTCACAACGGACTCTTCCGACTTGCTCTTGCTTAAGCTTAGTAATCGTAGGATTTGAGTGCACCTCGATGCATCCTAATTCTCATTGTTAGATTAGGGATTATTTTGAAGACTACAAGGTGTTATTTGTATTATTTATTTTGGATGCTTCAAAGCTCTTATCATGTGATTTAAGCCTAATCGGATAACCACTTATTGTTTTATTTCGTTGTTCGAATTTGTCCGTAGCTTTATTCTTGAATTATTCTAATCATAAGTTGTGCAAATCCAAGTGAATTAAACATCGCATGTAGTTCTGCATCAGCTATGTTTCTACTATCCTAAACCAAACAGTTGATATTATAAGCTAAGTATTTAAAAGCCAATGCTAAGTATTATAACCAAATCGTTGAATGCCAATAAAGGTATTGTACTAACAATGTGCTCAAAGTTTTAACATATTGCCTGATGCTTCACATAGTAGCATAACAGATGTTAAAGCAATGAATGCTAATATAGTTTTCCAGTAATTAACTGATGTCAATGCAACTATTCAACATAATACCTGGAGTTTTATGAATTGACTATGGCAATTTATTATTGACAACCCAATATAGCATAAAAAAGTTCATGTTTATGTAGATTATCAAGCGGTTTTGTGCTGACAAAGTCAAAAGAAGCTTAATTCTTCATTTATTTAGTGAATGTTGAAGGCCATGCCCAGAATTTTATATGTGATGAAAGAGATTACAATGAAGAACCAAAAGTTGCACTTTGATCATAAACAAAAAGAAGAAAGAAAGCCATAGGCATTTGAATTTAAGCGTAAGACAGAAAAGAGTTGTTGAAGTTATCGCAAAACTGGAGCTCAGATATATTTACTCATAAGAATAAAGATCATAGGCTCCATCACAGTAGCAGATTTTGTAGTATATGTGTGAAGTATACTATCTGAAAGGCAAGAAGAATTATGTTAAGCCTCGCCTTTAGGAAAGATTAATCCTTGTCATATCAAGTTGAGTTCTTATTAACAATATTAGAAGTTTTCTCTCAAACATAAGTATGATGTCTGCGTAACATCAGATTTGGTAAACAAGAGTTTTAACTATCAACTGTGCATTGCACTCTAATTACAGTAACGGAGGATTAGAAAAATTAGCCAAGAAACCAAATGGATGAAATTGAAACAATAGAAACTAACCTTGATGGTCCCTCAAGGAAATCGAGCTGCTTGAGTCAGTAATGCGACGCTCTACTGTTATCATATTACCGTATGTCTCAGGCATGAAAGCATCTTCTCCTCCATTCTTAATTTCAACAAAAATAGCAGCATAGCTGTAAGGACAAGTAAATCAGTATCAAAGTTTGATAGAGGTCTGAAAGTTTCAACGAAGTTTAAATATTAATTTACAGGAGTTCCAGAAACCTTTTAATTTACCAGGAAATAAATAATATCTCTGATTTAAAGGAAAATTAAATAAAGAATATCAAAAAGGGAGTGATCAGATAGAGACTGTTTCTAGAAAAATATAATTTATTACGGGCCATATACGTGCAATTTTAATAGTGGTCATATTCACGACAAAGCATTCTTCCATATAACAAGCAACCCAAATGTGAATAGTGGCATTTTTCCATGATAACTGCCATGCATTTTCCTCCACAGTAAAATGACATGCAAAATTAATATGTAATACTGAATCTTAGCATTCATCTTAGGAATGTGCTGATATATAGCTGCTTCTTAATCACCGTAATATTTTATAATTATATATCCGCTTAGAATTTCTAGTTTATGAATCTTGAAGGATTTTAAGATGAAATTATTTTTGAGAGCTGGGCTTCTCATCTTAAAGATGAACTTCAAATGCCTAGCTGAAAAATATTGAGTTTTGCAGTGAGAATTTTGTGCTCAGTAAGCTTTTCTAAAGGAGCGCTCTATGCTGCATCTCTATTTCCTGCTTGATTCCTTTTTATAAGGAAAGGCACCACAATCCCTCGCATAGATACAGCATCTATTATAATTTTATAGAGTAGATACTAATTTAGATTTCAACTAAGAGATTATAAATTGGCAACTCACTCTTACATTAATAAGTCACTTTCCAAATGGAAATATAAAGGTAAGTCTCTTGCAAAGAGGGATTGACACTGAGGCTTCGTTTGCTTCTTCCTCTCCTTTTGTAAAAGGTAGTTTTAGAAACAATGGTTAAGAAAATGGAGTTTTCTAACGGATAAGCAAATATCAAAAAGTTTCTCAAAACAGTAGAAAAATGAAGTTCCCTAAAACGCATTTCTATAGAAGCGTCTCATCCAAACAGCGACCAAAAAATAATTTCTCCATTTCTAAATAGAAAAAAAAAAAACGCTGAAACAAACGAGGCCTGAGTGAGGAGGGGAAGAGAGAGGAGTTGATCTCCTATCCACTCAAATAATCCTTATCACTCACTTGGATTTAATATCCAAAAATGCAAATCAAAATCATAGAGACCCTTCTGAATCACTAAAACCATAACCGATCAAATTTCAAATGAATTCTATAACTATTTTAGCAGCAACCGTTTAATAAAAAAAAATTGTATTCATAAGCCTTAGATTATGCCATGCAGCATCATAAATTTTCAAGACTATGCCATAAAGATAATATAAAACTCCATGTTTAATTTAAATACAATTAGTGGTTTTCATTGTCAAGAGAACATGCTTATCTGAAATTTTTTGAAATATAGCATTCATTTTTTTAGCTTGCACATCACCTTAGCTATTTCTTGCAGTTCTCTCGACATAGAAGGACTGGAATTTAGTTTTAAGCACAATGATCAAAACTCAATGAGAATCGAAATGCAAATTTTGACATAGTTGAACATAGACTAACGAATATAAGTCCATTTTATAGATGTGGCATTCGGTTCACAGTTTATTTTGATGCAATTCTTTTTGTAAAGTGAAAATACAGTCTTATCCCTAATTAAGTTCAAGAGTACATTTATGTATCGTGTACTTCTCCTTGGAGCAATGATATTATTTCATTGGGCAAATTTTACTAAAAGTGTTTAAGGTTATGAACTACACACTAATCTTAACAAGCATGCATATGTATGCGGTAAAACAAGCAAAATGATAGAAAGAGACCTCATTTTGGAATGAAATAATTTACCCCTATTCTCTACAATCTAGCAATCAAGTTACATAGCTGATTATGATTGTTATGACATTTTAAATAACTAGTACTATGCTTCGAATATACAAAGAATCATCCAATCATAAACAATGCCATTTTTTGGGGCACAAATACGAAAGATTTTAAATGCTACCAAGCCAAGTAAGCATAATCACAAACATCAGTGAAAAAATTCACCCTTATGCATTTCATAGCATTCAGGTGCACTAAAACTCTAATAAAATTTCCATCAAATGATTTCACCCACCTAAAATTAATCAAAACAAAGAACAGCAATTAGGCAAAGGAACTATGAACAATATCACTTCTCATGATCTGATTCAAACACAACATAGAATATCAACTGTGAATGGTGATCCAATAGTTACCCAAAATCCACTTATATAATCATTATCATCAATAGTTTCAGCTTCATTTTTTGGTTTGGCTTTAAAATCCTCGGTCAATTATCCATTTTGAGTGTTACATTAATTGATAGCACTATCTTGCGCAAGTCAATTACAATCTTTCTATTCATATTAATTTTCAAAGTACGCAGCTCTTCTCCCTTATAAGCAAATGCTGTGTGACTAAAGCACCTTGCCTGCATCCAGTCTTTATGAAATCTTTCAAAGTGTTCGCCCTTTGCGTGCCTTTAGCCCGGCAACCAAACGCCACACAAAGCGCCGTCAATATCGCACTTTTTCCACCTAATGAGGAAAACAAAAGCAATTAAACAACAATAGGCGTCAAGAAACAAAAGTAAAGGGCTTAAGGGCTTTTGGAATCGGATGGGAGCTTATGATTCGAGGAAAATACTTCCGTTCTGGCCTGTGATGAAGTTCACCCAGTCACCCAGGTCAATCTGTAGGCTGCTGTGACACATGAAATTCTCCAGCCGAATCCTCGATATGATTCCAGCGCCTGATCTGGCGGGGTTCGCCTGCTCAGAGAAAACCCTAGATTCCTCCATATGACTTGCAATGAGAAGTGAGGGGAAGTCGACGAAGGTGCGAGGGAAAGAAGATACTGAGACATTAAAGAGGAGGAAGAGGCCACATGACGAGAGCAGGCGAGCGGAGTAGGGCAGGAGCAGAAACCCGCAAAAACGACGCTTCCCGAGATCCTCACCTACGGCACATTACGGCTTCCTTTGATTCGGTTTATGCAGGAGTTTTAGAAAAAGAGGTTTGAGAAAAAGCCGTTCAATAAAATGGAATTTTTAATAATGAGATATGTTTGACTAATATTTTTAAAAGTGCTTATTAATACTTGAAAGTAATTTTAAATTGTTTGTTTAGGAGTTCTGCTTTTGAGATTTTATTATAAAAGACATTATTCGCTTCCGAAACTCCGTTTTGTGACCGAAGAAGCAGATACAAAAAGAATTTTGTAACCGCCGAAAAAACGATGTTTATTAAAAAGGAATTATTGTTAAGCTTTGATTCTAAACAGTAAATACTAATTGATTTCGGTGTATTAAAATGGAAACGGAGAAAAAAAGCCTAATCAAACGAG